TGCAGGGGAGGATATTTGCACCAGCAACAATACTTTTCATTTCAATTTATTTATTGTTTCTTTAGCAAATTTATATAGCCATCCAACTTACACAAAGATAACTCTGGGCAGATTGTATTAAAAATGCACAATATAAAAATCCAACAACACCCCCCTCCCCCATGGCGGCAGCAACAGTTGATTGGCTCCATCTTCATTTATGGTTCCCAGACCCACTGAGAAAATCCTGTTGTCAGGCCCTTTTGGAAAGGCAACAAGGTAGGGGCCAATCATACTTCAAGGGAAATGTTCTAAAGAGGCAACCACTGAGAAGACCCTTTTTGTGGTCTCACCAGATGTACATTCCTTAATAGATGGCATCCACAACATACCCTGACTTTCCATTGTAATGACAAAAGGGAAGAAACAGAGGAAGGCCACATGGGCTTTAAAGGTGACAACCATGCAGCCAGTAAAGGCTCCAGCAAAAGAAGTGCACAAATCTAGGCTTGCACAAAATTGTTCAGGCTGCTGCATTCTGAACCAACTGAAACTTCTGGATATCTTCAGGGGCAACGCCATGTAGAACACATTACAGTAGTCCAGAAATATCTAGAATTGTGGAATGTTTCTCTTTTGAAGACCCTACAACATTTAAGTACCATGAAGCATTTTATTTGATCTGGTTTGGCAGCTAGAGAAGGATAGGAAGATGAGGGAAAGGAAATTTAGTGTGATTATTTTTTGCTTCAGTAAATATTTACTAAATTATTGTACAAATTATTCTAAAAGTTGCTTCTTTATAACATAATGAAGTTTTTGGGCCACAGATAAAAATCCATCCAATTCATTCAAAAGTGTTAACTGGAACTTCAGTGATAACGTGTGTGTGTGTGTGTGTGTGTGTGTGTGTGTGTGTGTGTGTGTGTGTGTGTGTGTTTCAGAAAAAAACCTTCACTTTTGTCAATTTTGCTATGCTGCAGCCTGATTCTACAGTTGTTGACATCCATTTTTTTTCTTATGAATCTACACTCAGTACCCGATAATAACGAAGTAAAAACAGAAGTTTTGAAATATCTGTAAATCTATTAAAAAGAAAAAACTGAAATATAAAATAGGCATAAGTATCCATACCCTTCATTCGCTACTTTTTTGAAGAACCTTTGGCTACTTTTTTGAAGCACCTCCGGGATTGGGCGGCCTATAAATTTAATAAATGAAATAAATGAAATTATTTACAGCCTTGAGGCTTTTTGGCTACTACTGGACTGGCAGATTTTCTGCCATTCTTCCTTGCAAATCCTCCCAAGCTCAGTCAGGTTGGATGGCGACCATTGGGGGACAGCCATTTTCAGATCCCTCCAGAGATGTTCAATAGGATTCAAGACAGGGCTCTGGCTGAGCCACTCTAGGACATTCAGAGTTGTCCCTAAGCCACTCCTGTGTTGTCTTGGCTTAGGATCGTTGTCATGTTGGAAAATGAACCTTCAACCCAGTCTGAGGTCCTAGGCTCTGTAGAACAGGTTTTCATTGAGGATATCCCTGTACTTTATTCAGTTTTCCTTCAACCCTGACCAGATTCCCAGTTCCTGCTGCTGAAAAACAACCCCATAGCATACTGTCACCACCATGCTTCACTGTTGGGATGATATTGGGCATAGGGTCAGTGGTGCCTGGTTTCCTCCAGACATAATGTTTAGAAGAGGTCAAACAGTTCAATATTGGTTTCATCAGACCAGAAAATCTTGTTCCTCAAAGTCTGAGAGTTCCTCAGGTGCTTTTTCGCAAACTCCAAGTGGGCTTTTATGTGTTTTGCACTGAGGAGGTTTCCATCCAGTCACTCTGCCATAAAGCCCAGATTGGTGGAGAACTGCTGTGATGACTATCCTTCTGGAATTCTGTCCTATCTACACAATCAGAGTGGAATTCAGTCAGACCATGGTAACTTCTCTTACTAAGGCCCTTCTCCCCCGATTGCTCAGTTTGACCAGGTGACCAGTTCTTGGAAGAGTCCTGGTTATGCCAAACTTCTTCCATTTGAGAATTATGGAGGCCACTGTGCTCTTAGGAAACTTCAGTGCAGCAGAAATTTTATTGTAGCCTTCCCCAGATCTGTGCCTTGCAATAATTCTGTCTCCAAGCTCTGCAGGCAGTTCCTTCAACCTCATAGCTTTTGCTCTGCTACAGTGTGCATTATCAGGTGTGAGGCCTTCTATAGAGGTATGTGCCTTTCCAAACCATGTCCCATCAATTTAATTTACCAAATGTAGACTTCAATCAAGGTGTAGAAACATATCAGCAATAATCAAAAGAAATGGGAGGCATCTGAGCTAACTTTCAAGTGTTGTTGCAAAGAGTCTGAATACTAATTATGCTAATATAATATTTCAGGGTTTTTTTTCTTTTTTCAACAACTGTAGAATCAGCCTGTAGCATAACAAAAGTGACAGTGGTCTGAATACTTTCTGAATGCACACAAACACACTATTCCATGCCATTGAAAGCTAGTAGCAAATGCAAACATCAAAAAATGTAGCTTCCTCTACTACAAAAAATAAGTTCTGCTGTAAATTTTGGGCTGTCCAAATTTATTTCATACAAGAGTAACTCGAAAGTTGGGGGGGTTCAGTCATATTTTTGTGTTCCCTAAATATCGACAATGTGATATTTATGAAAGTCCTCATGACTGCACAAAACAGAACTGCATGCATTTTCTCTTTATCCAAACAGTCTGCCCAGATCTCAATGGCCACTGGAGGACAAGCGTCATCTTGTTCTAGCCTACTTGTATCTTTCTGATCCATTCATTTGAAATGAATATTTAGAATATAAACTATTTTTTTTATTTTATGAAAAACTGAGCAAACTTGTCCAAAGAGAACTAGATGGCTATCCTGCTGTATTACCCCACTGAGTCATTTTAAGAAAAGACTGTATCAAAAGTTTCAGAAGAGAGTTATAAAATGAACTGTTTATTTCTTACATAGACTTCCATTGATTTTATAAATGGAATCCAAGTTCAGAATAAAATAGGGGGGGAGCAACCATAGAGCATATTATGCTAGCCAGTATCACATACATGCTTCAATTATTTCATTTCATCATCTCCAAATTATATATAGTTTCTTTCCATCTTGAAATATACGTGTGTAAATGTTATTTAAAAGCAGAAATCTTAGTGCAGAACTGTCATGAATCCAAGAATTAAGAATCCTTATCAGCATGGAAACCTCATTCTCTGAACCCTTTGAAACACTGGAAATTCACTGAAGCTATTGCTTATTAATGACCATAGGCAGAACATAGGTATCAATGGGCAGCAATTGTGATAACTACGCATTATCCCTAATATGAAAAGCAGCATGAACATGAATACCAGTTGCTGGAGAGCAGCAATATCGGGTTATGATTCTTACATCCTGCTTGCAGGCTTCCCAGGGACAGCTGCTTGGCTACTACAGGAAACAGGATGCCACATTAGGGAGGACTTTGGTCTGATCCAGCAGGTCAGTCATGTTCTTAAGTATATATTTTACATTTCGAGAAATGTCATAATTCCTGATTTTAGCTTCATGGTATTCTGCATATGTCCACTGCAGACAAAAATAATGTACATATGCAATAAGTTAGTCTAATGTTTTCTTTAGAATGTCAAAATTGTCTGCTCTTCACCTCTAAATCTAAGTGACGAACTGTCATAAATATTCCTTTCTTATAGATTCTAGAAAAAGCATGGCTTTCAATTTTCTTAACACCTTCATTGACTTGGGATTAGATCCTTGTAATTGCACATAAGGAATATATATAACAGCACAACTTACTTTTAAGGACATATGCAAATATTATTTAATTTGTTTAACCTGACACTCTTTCCATTCCGTGCTAATAAAAGCAGTTTCCCAAAATGATCCTACAATCTCACTTCCAATATATAGTAAAAACAATTCTTTCATACATGGAACATCTTTGCTACAAACACTAAAATCCAGCTTTTGCTTCCCAAATATTTTAAACCCGAATATGGTTTCATAAATCTATCTTTTATTATTTTAGATAACCAAATACATGCAGTTTCAAAACCAACCATTAGCCTTCAGCAAATTAGAATGGAAAGATTAAAAAAGAAAAACAAGATAGTATATGGACTAAAAATGTCAGAATGTTATAATTTATTTACTACATGCAGCCCGTTAACAATTGTAATAATGCATTTTTCTAAATAGCCTATATAGAGATCAATTAAAAAGTCAAAGTCATTCACATTATAGCATTCAATTGCATAGGTTACAGCAGACTGCTTCTCTCCACAGACATGCCTTAAGCATACAGTACTACTGGTGCAGTCCTGATCTCAGAGACATGTTTAGTCATCGAGTTCAAAAACTGGGAGAATTGAGCTCTAAAAAATATTACATTTACAGATAAAATCTGTAACATTCATCCTTTTTTACAATCTTTGATCAAAATACTGAACATTCATCCTTACTAGCTTGAGGGCTACTCCTCCCATTGTCAGCACATATAAACCAACATGGTCCTACAATCCATATGTTTAATTTTCTAGCACAACATAATATAAAGAACAAAGCTTTCCAAAATACGTTTAGATGACTGAAAGGACAGAAACCCATGCTATTGACAATGACATCTGAATATTTCAGCAACATCTTAGTAAAAAACACTGTGTAGACATGACTAGACTGACAAATGCAACTATGATTTTCTTAAATTAAATCTTATCTTTTCCTAATATACATTTTACAAACTGATCTGTTGCCAACTTCCCTTCCTCATTTAAAACAGACAAACCAATAAAAAGCCTTACAATCAGCTTTAAGAATCAGTAAAATTTATCTGCAGAGGCATGACTCAGTATAAACTTTTAAGCAAATTCTCCACGGCACTATAAAATGACGTAATCGTGTATAATTCAAGCTTTTCTACTTCTTAAAATAGAGGCACGTTTAAAGTACTACTGGGGTGACAACAGAAAACAATTTGTAACCCAACGCCCGTAATACCTTCATGTTGTATCCTTTAACTGCTCCTTCTTCTGCACTTGCTATAAAGCTATCCCTATAAAACAAAAGCAAAAAAGGCACACAATAAAAAAATCTCCATTGCATTTCATTCATCCCACATCTTTTACTAGGGTCCTCCCTCCTCTTCAGCTGCACCTGCAACAGTCCTTAATCCTGCATGCCTACCACCTCTGATACACATTCAAAATGCAGCTGCCTGAGCATCCTTCAGTGACTGGACTGCAAAGTGATCAAGCAAAACAAGTGTTCGGGGAAGATACAAAGTTGGTACGTACATCGAGAGTTTGCCACAAGTGAATTAAAAGCAGCATTCCCCCCCACCCCCGTTTTTACCAAGGCAGACGCTTTGCCCCTTGAAAAACCCTTCGGTCCGCCCACATCGACTGCATATGGAGGGAGCCAGGAATTAAGAGAGCGTTCTGCATTCACACACATCAATGCATGTAGGCAGACACCTTTATAGTGCAGCAGCAGCGGCCGAAGGAAAAAAAAACCCGGCATGCTTTTCTTCCCCGCCGGCAGCTATCAGACCCCGCGTCCTGCTGATCGATCCTAAAACGTGACTAGAGGTTTCGGCCTCGCAACAAGCTTCAAGAAAAGAAAAGAAAGGCACACCGCGTCTCTTAAAGCAGCCAGACACGCCACCTCTCTCTTCTTCCAAAGCGAATATAGTGGGAGGAGGAGAAGCAGGAGCAGGAGGGAAGAAGAGGAGGAGGAGGGAGAGGAGCAACAATAGCAGCAACAGCTTGAAGGGTGATGAATGTGCGAGCAAAGCAGCCAGTAGTGATTCTTGGCGGCGGCAACAGCAGCAGCAGCAAGAGCAGCAGAACGAATCTACCTCGGAGAGGCAGTTTTGAGGCGCATGGAGGCTGAATGCGAATGCCTCCGGGCAGCAGCAGCAGCATCAACAGACTCCCCGCATAGTCCCCAAGCAGCAGCCTTCTTTCCGGGCGGCTGCCTTAATTGGGGAAAAAACAAAAAGAGGCGAGAGAGAGAGAGAGAGAGAGAGAGAGAAGCAACAGCTCGGGGGAGCGGAACATGCAGCCCCCTACCCAGTTCTAGGGGAGCTCCCACCACTCCAGACACGCGCTTATAACTGAGCAGCGGCGGACCTCTCCAAACTAATCGCGGCGCCAGCCCCTTCCCCACAGCAGGTCCACGGTTCGGGCAGCCCCCCACGCCCTGTGGGCTCTTCTAAAGGGGGGACCTCCGGCCGTTGCACACGACGGCTTCCCCTTCCAGCTTAGCAAAGCAGCAGGGAAAGGGAGAGACCGACCCGCTCTGCCTCGGCTTTGGGAAAGGCTCCCTCCTCCTCCCCACTAGCTCCGGATTCCGCCTCTGCCTGGAAGCGAGCAACAGCCGGCCAACCTTCTTCGGTTCTTCCCCTACTACTTACTCTGCGCCTGAGGAAAAGAAGGGAGAGGGGGGGCAAAAAGAACCGCGGACGCCAGCACTACCGACCACTGCTGTCCTTGCAGCAGTTCAGCCAAACGTAGTCTTTGCCTTGCCTCGGCTGGAAAGTCCCTGGTGCGCTGCCCCGGCTGGTTCTTTTTTTTTTTCCTTTCCCCCGCCCGCCCGGCACTTCCTCTCCCGCCCTCGAGCCCACTCTGGAAATCCCCGCCGCGTTCTTTCTTTGCTCGCGCTCGCCCGCTCGCTCTCTCTCTCGCGCGCTCTGCCGGGCTCTTTCTACAACCAGCACCCCGCCGCCGCCGCCGCCACCAAGCGCGCCTCCAGACTGGCTTCTCGGCACTGGCGAGGCGGGTTGAACGAGGGTCGGGCCTCAGCGGAGCTCAGTCCCCGCCCCGCTCATTCGCCAGCCGCGGGCTGGTTGGCTGTCCTGCCTGACGGAAAAGAGGGAAAAATGGGGAGGGCATGGGGCGGGGGCGCTATTTCCGCACACATTTCATTCAGGAGGAAAACGGAACGACCGACCCCCCCTAGCCGTAGTTCCGAGGAAGAAGGGACAGAGGTGGCGCTGTTTCATTCGTGCGTAATTGGGGTTTCATTTATATCGGGAGTCCCGCTGGAATTCTAGCACTTGTTTGTGTGGTGAAATGATTAAATGAAGTCTTTCTCTCTGAGCATGGGCTGAGCGCTGTCCTTTCCTTCCACTTATAAGTCCCGTATCTGTGGCGAGCGCTGACTTCCCTCATAAAGTTCATACATAGGGAATTAAAACTTGGATTTTCCACAGTTGGTGTGGAGGGAAAAGAGCAATCCCTGAGCATTTGCTTAAATCGTTTTTGTCCACCTATCGTTCTTTTCCTTTGTAATAAGGGTCCTTTATGATTGTCACAGTAGGGCATGATGGCATTCGTAATTAGTTCGTAAAAGTGAGTTTTAAAACATTTATGGAGAAGATCAGTACCCCCTCCATTTCACTGGTGCTGAAATGTATCTGACACAGTTTTAAAACAGAATAATTCATTAAAAGCATTTTAATGCAAGTTACAAATTAAGAATTTCCACAAATATTTAATGTTTTTTTTTTAAAGTCATAAAGGCATTCTCCCACATCACACTTCAAAAGTATCAATACTCTTCCTATCCTGCTTCAAAGTCCAACTTTCTGTTCCATGTCACTGGGAACATCTTGGCTTGCACAACTCCGATCATTTTATGTACAGGACAGTTCACAACATTTTTTTAAAAATGCATGAAACACCCGATTCGGTGTTTGTAATTATGAGGTGCAATATTTCTAAAACGAAATACACAGGGAAACGGGCAAAATAAATTGAAGGCTGGCTCCCTATAAATCTTTTCTTAACATGGTGCCTTCCAGATGTGTTGGGATGGCACCGATGAGGGTATCAAATTGGGGAAGGCCGCTTTAGGTACAGTCAAGCAACTACCTCTGCTACCCAAAAACATACTTCTCATGTAAAGAAGTTTTCAAACAGCCTTCTGTGAAATCACTAGAGAAGCAGAGAATGAAGAAGGAAAAGAAAGAACACGACAAGTGAAAATGAAGGGAAATCACAAGGCCAAATAACCAATTCAAGAAAGTAAGCTCATTTCACTCCAAAGTCAAGGGTCAAAACAATGTGAAGAATAAGAATAAACAACATGTAAAACACAACTTCAGGTAGCAAGAAAACCCAAGATTTATGGGAGCTATCAAAACCCAGCCAACAGAAGCAACATACACATATTCATATTCACTCTTAGCAAATATTATCTATTTGCCATTATAACCTAATTCATAGAAAAACTATTTTTTTTATCTTAAGGTTATTCTAGTAGTGCATATTTAAAAAATGTCATTTGCATGGTTTGGGTGATATTAGAGATTAGAGAAATAGCATTAAACTGGTAAGTTTGAAAGTTATTAGACCCACATAAAAGCTGCTTTATGGTTGTAACTCTTTATTCTGAAATCTCTATAAAAAAAGAATAAACACTGAAAGTTGGAGGGGGGGCGAAAGAAAGGGTGTATGGAGGGTCGAAGAGGGACATTGGGTTTCTATTTTGGGGGGTATTGTTGACAAGAGGAATGACTGTGTTTATTGTTTAATGTTATATGGCCCCGGTTATGCACAGTATATGTGACTGTACGAAAATGAAAATGGAAAATAAAAACACATTTACACGTAAATTTCCAAATAAATA